CAACAGAAGGACTTGTATGCATGCATATAAGCATAACCAATGGACATAAGACACTGGGGGGTAGGGGAGGCCAGGGGATTATCAAGGGCGGGGGGGAAAAAAAGGACACATATGTAATACCCTTTGTAATACTTTAAGCAATAAAAAAAAAAAAAGACTTCGCTATCATTTGGATGCTAGGATAGAACAAAGTAGGAGCTCAAGTTTTGTTTGCATAATTAGGTAGACAACGGTGACACTAAAGAGATGACCATATTACATATCAGAAAACATTAGGATATGTTTTTGTAGAAGTGGGTCATAATGGCTGAATTTTCTAACTCCAAAGAACCTCCAGATAAAAAGAATTTTAAAAAGTAGAAGTTCATTAACTGTGCTTCGATTTGATTCTGGGCTTGATAAGCAGGAACTTAACACATTGTGGGCAGATGACGAGCATTCTCCTGTTTCATATTACACAGTATTTTACATAATGTTAAAGGCATGCCTTAAAATTAAATACCCATTGCATTTTGAAGTTATTTATTACATGTTCTTACAAGCTATTATCTTTTTAAAGTATGAGACTTTGTAAAACCTTTTTGTACTCGTTTACTAGAAACTTATCTGGCCACTGGGTAAAGCTGGCAACAAAACTACTGGTGCGCAATGTGTTAAGTAGTCTTCCTGATGCCTAGAATCGTAAGAGCAACCCCTCACATGGAGGATCTAGAGGACTATATGGTACATTTGGTTTCTATCGGAACAATAGAGCAGCAGAGCAGACAAGAAGGGCAAGGAGGGGCACTCATTATACATGCAGTTGTAAAGAGGATCTTGCCATAGTTCCTCAGAAATACAGACCTTTTCTCTGGAAAGAAGATAAAGACAGAGTATAGTCAACTGGAATGTGCCATACCACCTGTGGTTGACAGCTATGTTTGTTATTTTCTTATTTACAAGGCACAATATTAGTTAACATGCTAACTTTTTGTCTTGCTTTATATCTTAATATACTTCCATTATTGGAAGTTGTTATATGCAATAGTAAATCATGGATTGAAATAATTTACCTTGGGATGAAAAGCAAAGCACATCCCAGGAGCTTGACGAGATATCAAAGCTTCACCTTTCTTTTCCTTTTCCCCTCCTCTTCTGCTGATGCTGGCAGTAGTTCGCTTCAAACGCATCAAATCTTTATTTAAAGAAAAAATACAGTACATTTCTTAGGTCCCCCAAGGGTTTCAAATCATGAGATGCACAGATTTTTATTTCCTTCATGGGGAGATATTAGTGTGATTTCTCCCTTTGATCTGTTTTTTCATGGCTCTGAAAATATAAGGTTTTAAGTGCTTTCCCTGGGACCAATTTGGGGTTTTTAGTAGTTAGAGGAAGCTAGGAGGGTGAGTGGAGCAAGTACATACCAGGGGAAGAAAATCAATTGCCATATGATTTAATACATATACGCTGTTTCTGCTACATTGGTGCCATAATTCCAAGCAATTATATAGACATCTGAATTAATTTTTAGAATGAGGCAGGGAAGAGATAAATAAATGGAAAAAAGTAATGGGAGAGAATAGGGGAAAAGGTTTCCTGCCTTAGAAAACTAAGTTTGCAAATATAATAGTGTTGTTTGAGAGTGTTAACTAGTTTCAACTAAAATCCTAAACTGTCCCCAAACCAATTTATTAAAATTATTTCAGAGTGGTAAAAAAAAGAAAAAATATATCTTATTTATCACATGAAAAAGTATTGTAGATATAATATGTCCCTTCTGCAAATAATGATTTCTGCCATCTTCTGCATGTGATTAGGTTAAAATTAGCAAATACCCAAACTAGATGCTTATAAAAAAAAATGACCAAGCCCAGTTTTATTTTCTTATTTAGCAAAACCAAAATTTTTCACCTCTTATACATGGTTTACAAGGAATTTTTAATTCAGCCTATAACAAGAGAAAGATAACTTGATATCTATTTATTAGTAGTATTTTTTTTTACCATAACAGTCCAGTCCTTTGCGTATAACCCATTTGGCGATTCTTCCATCTGCTGATATAGAAACTAGTATTTCTCTCTTGTCATCACCTGTTGTTCCTCGATCTTGTTCTATCCACTGTAGTTGCCATATAGGTTCCAAATGTTTTTGAGGTGATTCACTGAAACAGAGAAAAGTACTAAATATATACTCATTATAAGAATTTTTTTAAAAAAAGACTTAGAGTACAAGTGATAAGGACAACACCATAGAGCACTATAACCTACTTATAGAGTGCTTTTATGGTTGAAAACTGGATTTTTAATTTAAATATTTTGAAAAACAGGAAAAATAATCACTTTGACACCTAATATTCACTGCCGTTTTTCTCATTTCTTAAAAAGAAAATTGTTACTACATTAATTCTATTGGTTCGCATAACAAATACAAAAGCAAATTATTTCCTTTCTTTTAAAAATGTATTTCACTTATTCTATTCCTTTTATTTTTTCCTAGTTAAATTGTTTAAATTTAGCTTATTTTATACATATTGAATATTAAGTATCTTTATTTTTATAAGGATTTTTCATAGTTTAAATGAATAAGTTGTTTAAGTTTTATTCACTTCTCAGTGAATTTTAAAATCACTTGTCAGATTACTGACTGCTCTGTTCCTAGTACTGAATCCCTTGAATTTTTTTAATGTGAACTCTCCAAAATAATAGTTCTGAATCTTTTTAAAATCATAGATATCTTTGATTTTATGGTAAAATTTATGGACCCTCTTCCTGGAAATAAGCAGAAAGGCCCCCACTTACAAAACTATGCAAATAATTTCAAAGTTAAGCATAAGAACTTCTGTTTTAATGCCTATTTCCATTCAGTTCCAGCAAAGTTTACTCAAAACTAATATAAATATTCTACCTCATTTTTGCCCCATTGATATATGGTCTATTACAAAAACCTAATATATTCAATATCCTCCTCCCCCTTTAACTTTTTTATTTTCTCAATATGACTCATTTATTTATTCATTTTTTTTCCTTTTAAGAGTTCTATATCTATTTCTTTTTCATTAAACTTATTGGGCTGACATTGGTTAATAAAATTAAATAGGTTTCAAGTGTACAATTCTATAATACATCATCTGTATATTGCACTGTTTGTTTATATTCATTCATTCATTCTTTTTCTTTTAAAAAAATATATTTTATTGATTTTTACAGAGAGGAAGAGAGAGGGATAGAGAGTTAGAAAAATCGACGAGAGAGAAACATCATGTGATGGATGTATTGAGCATGCAAAGATAAACAAGACTTAATGTTTGTCCTCAAAGAGCTTACAGCCTCCTCAGGAGAATGATATATACATAAACAATTTATATACAGCATGATGTGTGCTGTGATAAAGTTGTGTATAGCATGCACAAAAGAAAGAAATGGGAATGTTTCCTTGAGGAGGTGGTACAACAGCAATCAAGGATACAAACTTTCAGTTATAAGATGAGTCATTTCTGGAAATCTAATATATAGCATGGTGATTATAGTTAATGATACTGTATTGTATACTTGAAGTTTGCTAATAGAGTAACCTTAGGTTTTCTCACCACACATGCAAAAAATAGTAACTATGTGAGGAGATGGATGTGTTAATTAATTTGATTGTGGTCATTTCACAATGTATACAAATATTCAATCATCGCATTGTACACCTTTAAAAAATCAGAGTGTACAACCTAAATATATACAATTTTTCAGTTATACCTCAATAAAATTGAGAAAATTTTTCTTTAAAAAAGAATAAGCATAAAACTTTCAAGCCAAAGGAAATTTGTTGGTGAGGTGGGCAGAGAAGATAAAGGAGATATTAGGGCAAAGCATTCCAGCTGGAGAGAAAATAGGAGAAATTATTAAATGTTTGAAAAATAATGGTACCATTCTCAGTAACAATGTAAACATTCACTCAAGACCAAATAACATTAAATTTTTACTTCTCTCTAAATAAGCATATATTCTACATTTATCTAATTCTTGGATCCTCACCTGCTATCCAGAACTGGAACATTAACGTTGCTCTGTACATTATAAATCGCAATGGTGCCATTGTGATAGCCAACTGCTAAAAGATTAGGTGTTCCAATGGAAAAATCCACAGCAGTAACTCCATATGGACTCTGATAAATACGTTCTGGCCACTGAAACAAAAATACCATATTACATGTTAAACTTGGTTTTGTACACCACAGTAGGTAGGGTCTGATGATGGCTAAAGTGTAGTCTAGTGCCAATGGGGATGTGAGAAGAGTTAGTCTACATTAAGTTACTTTTCTCTTCCTAAGTTGCAGTACAGATGAGAACAAAACCTCCTTTCCCTCCCTTTGATGAATTCTCAGAGCTCAATAATTTTAAGAAATACAAGATGGGCTTCTACAATAATTACCATATATTGGCAACTTTTCAACAGTATTTGTTTGATCAATATAGGACTACATTCTTAAAGAAACAATAATGGGCTCCAAACAAATGATCTAACATATGTGTTCCTATCTGCTCCAAACTCGCTAAGGTACTTTCCTAAAATTCTGTCAAGCATTTTATTGGTTTGTTTCAATGTCTAATCTAAATACTTTCTTGTTTTTAACACCCTATTGGAAAAGAAGACAGCCTACTGATGATGAATCTTATATCAATCCTTCTACCTGTTTAAAATTGCTTCTTCCTTTCTTTTATGCTATATAAACCCATCTTTCTAACAAAAGTGGGAATATTTATAAAAACTCTATTTTCATATGATCTTCTGATCCTTTTCTAAGTTTTTTACTTTACATTTCAGTTGTGAATTAAAACTAAATGTAAAGCTATAAAGTAACAAATTGACTGGGGCTATTTAGCACACACACACACACACACATGCACACACACAAATGGTTGATTCTTATTTATTCTCTTTGAAAAGTTCATGGCAATAAGATGGTCATATTAACCTATTTTATATCAGTTGAGGATAACAGAAATCTATCTTATAGGGTGATAAGGAGTTATTCATATATTAAGAAACAACCCAGTATTAAATGAAATGTAATTTTCAAAGGATTTTTTTTTTTTTTGCAAATTCATTCTTTGTAATTAGCCGTGATAAACAATAATGGTTCAACTCTGGATCAACAGATATAACAGTACATAGTATATGCTCAATAAATATTTATTGAATGAACTTGTAAATGAATTTACTTTAACCTATATCAAAAAGAACAAATTTTAATTATTATGTACTTAAACCAAAAAAAAAAAAATGTCTTGCTTGAACAACTATCTGCTTTATAATCATGTCAACACTTAATTAAATAAAAATGGGTCTTCATCCTGTTTGGGTTACCATGGGATTCTTTATTGACCAGCAGCAAGCCAATCCTTTTTTTTGCTCTTTAAATCCAAAATGCCCATAGCCAACAGCCAAAAGGTCCTGAAAATCAGAAAATTGCATTTAATATAAGAGAGGGTGACATATAAATATTTGCAAATGTACAAAGATGCATATTAATGAACTGTGTTTATAATAGTGATAAAACATTTCAATTAAGACTTTTTCTAAATACTAGTATACCCTCTATTTTACTTTACACCTTCATCTTCCTAAGCAAAATTATAATGATAATCAAATTTTCAGATTAAACAATAAGTACCCCCAAAGAATGAATTGCTAACAAGTTCCTTTACATCTATAATAATAAAAGGATAATATGCTCATTAGACTGGACGTCTTCCGGATGTCATTCCGGATGTCCTTCCTGATGAAGCTGGGGCCGGAGGGAAGCCAGCACAGGTCCTGGGTGCCTGCCGGCGGCCAGAGAAGGGAAGCCCAGGTCTCAGGTGCCAGAGGGAAGCCGGTGCTGGCAGCCAGGGGAAGGAAGGTCTACTCTTGCTTGAATTTTCACGCATCAGGCCTCTAGTACTGAGATAATCTTCCAAAACTGCATTATTACATTATAATATCCCTTGGGTTTTTTAGAATGACCAAATCATTCTAAGTGTAAAATAAAGATATTTAAGGTAAAGACAGGTATCATAAAATGATGTGTCTCCTCCCTCAAAATTCATATGTAAAACTCATAATCCCCAATGTGATTATATTTAAGGACAGGGCTTTTAGGAGGCAATTAAGGTAACATGAGGTCATAAGGGTGGGGTCCTAATCTTGTAAAATCAATGGCCTTTATAAAGAGAAAGACACAGCAGAGCCCTCTCTACCATATGAGGACACAGACATCTGCAAGTCAGGAAGAGAGGCTTCCCAGGAACAAATCAGCTGGCACCTTGATTCTGGACTTCCTAACATCCAGAACTGTGAGAAAACAAATTTCTATTATTTACACCACCCAGCCTATGGTATTTTATGATGGCAGCCTGAGTTGATGAGTAAAGCAGGTCATTTCAAGACATGCTTATGTAAGTATAAATAGACAAAAGTTAATGATTGCCCTGGCCAGTGTGGCTAAGTTGGTTGGGTACATCCCATGCACCAAAGGGTTGCCAGTTGATTTCTGGTCAGGGCACATGCCCAGGTTGCAGGCTCGATCCCCAGTAGGGGGCGCACAAGAGGCAGCCAATCGATGTTTCACTCTTGCAAAATGAAGCCAACCCACTGAATGGGAGAACATATTCACCAATGATACATCTGATAAAGGATTAATATTCAAAATTTGTAAAGAACTTCTAAAACTCAACACCAAAAATACAGGCAATCCAATTTAAAAATGGGCCAATGAGCTTAATATGCACTTCTCCAAAGAGGACATACAGATGATCAATGGACATATGAAAAGATGCTCAGCATCAATATAATCATCGGAGATATAATTGCAGATTATAACCACAATGAGAAATCACCTTAAACCTGTCAGAATGGCTGTCATCAATAAATCAGCAAACAAGTGGTGGTGAGGATGTGGAGAAAAGGAAACCTTTGCCCACTGATGGTGGGAATGCAGATTGGTGCAGCCACTATGGAAAGCAGTCTGAAGTTTCCTCAAAAAAGTAAAAATCAGACTGCCATATGACCCTGCAATTCCACTCCTGGGAATGTGTCCAAATAAACTTGAAACACTGATTTGAAAGAATATATGCACCTTTATGTTCACTGCAGTATTATTTACAAAAGCCAAGATTTGGAAGCAGCCCACGTGTCCATCAGTAGATGAGTGGATTAAAAAGCTGTGGTATATTTACACAATGGAGTACGAGTTGGCCATAAAAAAGAAGAAAGGCTTACCCTTTGCAACAGCATGGATGGACCTGGAGAGTATTATGCCGAGTGAAATAAGCCAGTCAGGAAAAGACAAGTACCATATGATTTTACTTATATGTGAAATCTAATGATCAAAATACATAAAACAAAAAAATAGAAACAGATTCATAGATACGAAGAACAGACTGAATGCTGTCAGAGGGGATGGAGGTTGTGGGGTGGGGTGGGAGAGGCCTGGGTGAAAAAGGTGAACAGGTTAAGAAAAAACAATATGAGAAAATGGGTGGTGGAGGGAGGTAGAAAAGGTAAAGAGGGGTGAATGGTGATAAAGAGACTTGATTTGGGGTGGTGAACAAACAATACCATATACAGAATAATGTATTATAGAATTGTACACTTGAAGTCTATATAATTTTATAAATCATTGTCACCACAATAAATTCAATAAAATAAAATGTTAGTGTATTCAGTTTCTAAATAGAATTCATATGTGTTTATTACAGTTATTATTGATTTATTGAATCTCACTTATCTATGAGATGTTCTCAAGTATAGTGTTACAATGACAAATCCAAATTAAAAGGATTTTATTTTATTAAAAATCTTATTCAGCCCAGCCAGTGTGGCTCAGTGGCTGAGTGTCGAACTATGAACCAGGGGGTCATGGTTCCATTCCTGGTCAGGGCAAATGCTCGAGTTGCAGGCTCGATACCCAGTGGTGGGCGTGCAGGAGGCAGCCGATCAATGATTCTCTCTCATTATTGATGTTTCTATCTCTCTCTCCCTCTTCCTTCCTCTTTGAAATCAATAAAAATATATACATTTTACCGTGTTATTTAGTCTTCAACAAAAATGATTATAGAACTTCTGTTTTTTAATAACCATAACAACTATCATATTTGCACATAGCATCTTAAAAGACGTGGCAATAAAATAATAAGGCTAATTCTTAACCATACATAATACAATACAACTTAAACCAATAAATTAGTTTTGATCACTTTAAAAATACACTAAATATTTATTGCCATTACATAAAAGCATTTTGGAATAACTAGTTGAGAATCATGTCTTCAGAAGCAGTTTATAAACCCCAAGAGAAAATAAGTATCATTACTCTATAATCATCTCTTTTTTACAAGCAAATGAGCCATCCCCCAATTTGATGATTCATTTAATGAATGAATGGTCTTTCTCAGGATGATTTTTAGCAATTAGTATTTAAAAGCAAGAAACCTGGAGGTAGATGTTTGGGTTTGAACTCCAGCTGTTTTACTTACATTGTACAACTTTGGGCAAGTTGTTTATCCTTTCTGTGCTTCAATTTCCTCATCAACATCATGAAGCCTAACTCACAGAGTTTTTGTATTAATACAAGTAAAATACAAATACAAATCTGGATACCTGAGTTTAGTAAATGTTGAAATAAATCAAATATATACTGTATTCTACTTCATTTCTCAATATCTGATATGGATTCAGAGAGTGTCTCAAGTACATCTATTAAGATAAAAATGGTGCCCTAACTGGTTTGGCTCAGTAGATAGAGCGACAGCCTGAGGACTGAAGGTTCCCAGGTTTGATTCCCATCAAGGACACATGCCCAGGTTGCAGGCTCAATCCCCAGTAGAGGGCGTGCAGGAGGCAGCCAATCAATGATTCTCTCTCATTATTGATGTTTCTATCTCTCTCGCCCTCTCCCTTCCTCTCTGAAATCAATCAAACAATCAATATAGATATATTTAAGATAAAAATGATAATGTATTTATATTAAAGGAGAAAAATTTTTTCATAATTATATGCGTTTTTCATTTTGAAACAGGAATTTTCTTTAGAGGCATTTTAAAACTAGGGGTTATGTTTATTTAAATACTTGCTTAAATTAAAAAAATATTCATTAGGACTTGACAATTTCCCTTAAATGCTAGAGATGGAATTGTTAAAATATTAGATAACTTACTGGATTTGTTTTATTCCAGGCAAGGCTGCTCACATTAAGACCTTTGGTTAAGTCACAGGAAAAGGACCAAAGTCGTTCCAAATTGGCTGGTATTGTTGATTGTTCTTCACCTATTTCTATTTCTTCTTCCTCTTCCTTCTTCTCTTCTACCTCTTCACGTTTTTTACCTCCTGAAAGGTCTTTAGGCCCTTCAGGTTTTGGTTCTAAAATTAAATCAAAAAGATTATCGCCTGGCCAGTGTAACTTAGTGGTTGAGCGTCTACCTATGAAACAGGAGGTCATGGATTCTATTGCTGGTTAGGGCATATGCCTGGGTTTCCGGCTCAATCCCCATTGTGGGGCATGAAGGAGGCAACCTATCAATGATTCACTCTCATCATTGATTCTTCTCTCTCTCTCTTTCTCCCTCTCCCTCTCTGAAATCAATAATAAGTATATATATTTTTTAAAAAATAAGATTGTCCTCTTCTAATCTATAGGACCCTGCCAAAAGCTCCAAACAGCATCTCTATCTACTACCAACACTACAACATTGGATCTGCTGGATCAAGGTACCCCCAAATGACAGGGTACCTTGAATAGTTCTGCCTGGCCCTGTTGCAAAATCTCCTATTCTTCTGGACACCCCTCAAAACTAGCAGCTTTTCAGGTAACTCAACAAATAAGCCAGAGGAGCACGTCCAAATGAGGAATACACTGCCTCCAAAATGCAAAGAGGTCCATTAGGCACTGTGCCTCTTTTATGGTTGTAAGAAGGGCTGGGTAAAAGTATATCAATAAAACTGTTATAAACATCTATGTGTTAACAGAAGGGTTAGACTAACCCTACAGTTTTTTGTGTTGATATTAGTACCCACTTTTTTCTTATTTCTTGGTGTTAAATAAGGGAAAAAAAGTCATCATCATACTCAAGGTCATACTCCTGTGTCGTCTTGTACAAGTTTCATGGTTTTGCATTTTACATTGTGATCTATGATCCATTTTGAGTTAACTTTTGGGTATCTAGATTCTTTATTTTGCATGTAAATGTCCAATTGTTACAGTACTATTTGTTGAAAAGACTATCGTTTTTTCCTTGCTTTCTTTCCTCCTTTATCAAAGACCAATTGACTATGTTCATGTGGATGAAATAAAAAAAATTCATCAAAAGACAAATATATTGGCAAGCCATAGGTTTAGAGAAGATAGTTGCAATACATGTATCTTTCAAAGAGCTTGTATCCAGCCTAGCCAGTGTGGCTCAGTTGGTTGGAGCATTGTCTTGTTCACCAATAAGTGGCAGATTTGATTCCCAGTCAGGGCACATACCCAGACTGCAGGTTTGATGTGTGCAGGAGGCAACAGATCAGTGTTTCACTCTCACATCAATGTGTGTGTGTCTCTCTCTCCCACTCCTCTCCCTTCCTTTCTCTCTTAAAGGGAGGGGAAAAAGAGCTTGTAGCCAAAACATAGAAAAATATGTTCTGACAACTTGATTTTTAAAAAAAACTCAATTTTAAAGTGGGCAGAAAATATGCTCAGCCAGTGTTGCTCAGTGGTTAAGCATTGACCTATGAACCAGGCAGTCACAGTTAGATTCCAGGTCAGGGCACATGCCTGGGTTGTGGGCTCAATACCCAGTATGGGGCATGCAGGAGGCAACTGGTCAATGATTCTCTCTCATCATTGATGTTTTTATCTCTTTCTCTCTCCCTTCATCT